TACAATTACGACACCCCTGAAATTTTATGTTTTCATTTAAGAATATAGATCACGGTCACCTCCTAGTAAGATACGAAAACCAGGCACTCAAGACAACTTTTCTTTCATACTGTCAACCGGTGTTCTCAGGTCAGAAAGGGGTAGTAACACAAGCACTGACTGATGTGTGACGTCATCAGCCCCGTAAAATAATACAAAATAAAACCAAATCAGAATTAAAAGATCTATCAACCGGGATGTCGAAACATAAAAGAAAATACAAATTATACGACATTTGAAAAGATGACTCAGTAAGCAATGTATCTTATTATAAAAAGGGTACAAAGAAATAGGAAAAATACGGTAAATTATAATTCAATCAAATAACCAACAAGAATTGGTGAAAACAACAGCCTCAGCATTAATAACAGTATATATAAAAGAACAAAGAGAACGACTTCCAGACAGACTAAAACAAACACACAAAATAAGAAAAAAAACGACAAAGGTAGAAACCACGATAACGCGACTTTTTAAGATGCTCGCGAGGAGGGTTGCCAAGTGCAAGATAAGAATAGACAGACAGAAAAAAAACGACAAAGGTAGAAACCGCAATTATGCGACTTTTTAAGATGCTCGCGAGGAGGGTTGCCAAGTGAAAGGGTTCCTTATAGCCGCAATTGCAAGCGAGCGTGCAAAAAGGAGGAAAAAATACGCTACGTGTTAAGAAAAGTTAAGAAAAAGAGATAAATACGAGACCTGAAAGAAGATTGAGAAATTAGAATATCAACTTTGAGAAATTCCCTTTCCACGGTCGGTTATCCACCTGGATACAGAATGGCTTTCCTTTCTGTGTGGAATTTAAATATCTATCGAGTTCCACAGGTGCCTCTTACGCTGTTTTTGTAACCTTTTCTAGATGGGATTTCCTCGCAACGTAATCTTAAGTGGTACCTACTCTTCCTCTCAGACAATGAAGAAAAGGCGATGATTTCGAAAACAATAAACAGTAATTTGTATTTCTTGTAATTTATCGTGTTATAAGTTGGAAATATTATGTATAATACGATAGATGAAACAGATGAATCCCTAGTCTTCACCGCTAAGCTTCTATATCTTAAATTTTATGTTGTTGATTCGTCAGATGCGTTGGTGTTATTAGCATTTGTGGCTGCAATCATTCCTAGCGTGTTTCTGACTTCTTTTATCACAAAGCCCCCTCTGTTGTTAACCCTTTCAAGAGTTAACACCGTCTAATCCCGACCTTATCTTCTTATGTACTTATACTATATGGTAGTCTTTGTACCCTGTTCATATCTCATGACCTTTTTTCTTAACTATTATCAGCACCTTATACAGTGGTTGGAGATTCTGAAATTCACATAGGTTTTATATCCGTAATATTATTGTTGTTGAATAAAGGTATACAATAATGAATGGATAAATACCATATCATCAACATTATCGCTATCTTAATAAAGATATACAATGATGGCTGATTAAATAATATATAATTAATATTATCGCTGTTTTTAATAAAGGTATACAATAATGACAATAAATATCATATCATTAATAGTATCCCTGTTCAGGTATAGAATAATGAATGAGTAAATACCCAAGAAGGAATATAGTAGGGAATGAGGCATCGTAAGTAGATGGGGTCAGTAATGCCATTGTTCTTATCGGGAATAGGGGGAGGGCGTTGGGGAAACAGGGAATAGCGCTGTTTTTAATATAGGTATACAATAATGACTGAATAAATATCATATCATTAATAGTATCCCTGTTTAGGTATACAATAATGAATGAGTAAATATTATAAAATTGTACCAAGAAGGAATATAGGAGGGAGTAGATGAGGTCAGGAATGCCACTGTTCTTACTGGGAATAGGGGGAGGGCGTTGGGGAAACACGGAATAGCAAGATCATTTTACCGGAAGAACTGAGACATATACAAATTCCCAATAAGTGTAAACATTCTGTACGCAAATGAAGTTAAAATGTAATGCCTCAGAGATTGATGAGGTCACTTTAAACATCAAACGGTGACCAGTGGAAAATATTTTAAACTGATTCATATCAATCTTTTGTTACAAACAAGCAAGAATGAAATGTGATTTTAATTCCTAATTTCACGCCACAGCGGCAGACAATAGCCAACATCCGACATTATGAAAACATTATAAAGCTTCCATAGTTAATTTAGACCAGTTAGCAAAATATAGCATGCCATTCATATCAAATATTCATGTTGTGTGTGAGTGTGTGCGTGTGCGTATGTGTGTGTGAGTGTGTGTGCGTGTGTGCGTGTGTGCGTGTGCGTGCGTGTGCGTGTGCGTGTGCGTGTGCGTGTGCGTGTGCGTGTGCGTGTGCGTGTGCGTGTGTGTGTATGTATAACCAATAAACTTCTCGCCCTCCCTACCTCTCTCGCAAACATTTTTGTCATCTCTATGATCATTCTCCCACGCGCCTCTCAGCCTCACACACTTATTCCATCTACATTCTCTTAAAACTGCA